CCAAAATAGGAACCAGGTGAAAATTGGTTCCATTTTGGTGTAATTTTCCCATTTTTCTATAATTATTTTGCAAGTTGGTTCCCCAAAATAGGAATTAGGTGCAAGTTGGTTCCCCAAAATGACGATTTTGAAAGTTGGTTCCCCAAAATAGGAATCAGGTGAAAGTTGGCTCCCCAAAATGACGATTTTGAAAGTTGGTTCCCCAAAATAGGAATCAGGTAAAAGTTGGTTCCTCAAAATGACGATTTTGAAAGTTCGTTCCCCAAAATAGGAATCATGTGAAAGTTGGTTCCATTTTGGTGCAATTTTCCTTTTTCAATAAGGTTGTCTTTGGTTCGTAAAATGTTTTTGATAAATAGAATCTGTTAAAAAAAATTATTTTGAAAGAATTCGAAAATAATGTTGTTAATTTGACCATTTGTTTGGTTGACAAACATCGAAATGAAATATGTTAAGAAAATTTGAAATCTGTCTGTTTGATTCACATAAAGTAGCTCTGGAATTAAAATTAAATATTGGTAAATGATCAAAATATCCTTTTTAAAATTTTTAATTTTTAAACTAAAAATATTTTAATAAAATAATTATTTAATATGTAAACAATATAAAATACACAACCCAAATATAATCATAAGGCAAACGATGTTACTAAATCAACGGTGGTCGACGATATTTTAGATCGGTGGTAGTCCACAGTGATTCAGATAGGTGGTGGTTGGCAATCAATGGTAGTCGTCGGTGGCGGTGGTCGGATGTGGTTCAGATCAGTGATTGTCGACAGTGGTTCAGATCAGTGATGATCGACGGTGGTTCAGATCGGCGGTGATTCAGATCAATAGTAGTTGGCGGTGACTCAAATCGATGATGGTTCGTGGTGGTTTAGTTGGCAATGGTCGACAGTGATTCAGATCGGTGATGATCCATGGTGGTGATTCAGATCGATGGTGGCCAGTGGTGGTTCAGATCGGTAGTGGTCGGTGATAATTCATATCAACAATGGTCGGAGGTGGTAGACGATGGTCATATTGGGTTTTATGATATTAGGATATATTGGGTTAATGACATATTTAATATTATAGAGATAGGAAATTTTATTCAATCGAAATACCACATAGTTGCTAAAGAATGTTAAATTTCTTTATTTGTGAAATTTGTATGATTTTAAAAATTCATTTCGTAAAAAATAATAAACAAACAAGAGAATGAAATTTGGTCAATGAAATCCAACATTTCAATTTTATCATATTTCTTCAAATTTTGTGAACCAAACTCCCCCTAGCCAAAAATTTCGATTAAATCACTTTTTAATACCCTCTAAAGTTTGAATCAGTCAGATTTTTGGGAATTCAGGGTGTTTGTTTTTTTTTTCGTTCTAATTAATAACTTAAAAGCTCTGATTAGTTTTAATGATCGACAAAACTCTTAAAATCTCTTATTTGAAAACGTCGCCTCCTCCTCCGATTTCTACTCTGGATCATCTCTCAACTTTCGGTGTCTCTGGATCATCTCTCAAGCTCTCGATCTCTCAGCTGTCATCTGACTCGTCTCTCAAGCTCTCGATTTAAGGTATCCATTTCGATTTCAATTATTCTTTGAAGATTTTAAAAGTTAATTTCAATCGAAGAATTAGTTTCATGTTGGTTATTTTGAAAATGTTTAAAAAACTATTTTTTTTTCAAAAAAAATGGCTAATTTGGTGAGTACGTCAACAAGAATATTTTATAAAATTAAGAGTAAATTACAATGTATCCCCATGTGCTTTATGGTTTTGTTTTTGTTTTCATCCCTATATTTTATAATTAAAAAGTAAATTCTACGTATTTGTTTTAAATTTATTAGAAGTGTACTCGCGCAATGCAGCGAGATACATCGTGATTTTAATGTTTCATTTTATTCTTTATCTCAGTCGATGTTATAATATGATTTTATGTAATTTTGAGAAATCGATGATGTTTTTATTTTTGAATAAAATATATGTTTGAAGATATCAATAAAATTTGATAAAAATGTATCGATATTAGTATCAAATTAACTATTTGAAATTCCTCATTTTTTGTGTAATTTTTTAATTCAATTTTTTTAAAATTTAATTTATGTACAATAACGAAGTAATTTATATTTGGTTTAATAATATAATTTTTTTATAAAGATAATAGTTATTTATTTTGTTGGAACTTGATAATTATTCTAATTATATTTTAGATTTTTTATATTTTAAAATGAGATGTTCATCCTCTATTTGATTATGTTTATCCGCAGTTATTTATACAAATTC